AACAGAGTAGACCCATATCCAGAGGCCTGAAGGGGGTGCACTCAGCACTCGAACAACCACGAACGCCCCGGAAATACCACGGCCTTCGGTCGACCGATCCATATGGGACACCCTTCAATCTACCCTTGAAGAAATAGCATCAGGCTCCAGGATGCCGTGCGGTCACCCGATCTGGCGGCGGAAGACCCTCGGAACCAGCAGAGAGCCGCAGTGGGCGTAGATCTGAAAGCCCTCGTGCGCGCCACCTCAGATCCGCCGGAGAAGACAGAAAGCCGCCGGATCTGCACCAAACAGGACAAAAAAGAAAAACCCAACGAACCCCTACCAAGATCAACAGGAAAGAGCCGAGGGTCGCCAGATCATAAAAACAAACTGTACAAGAAACTAAAACTATACAAAACAACCAGAAAACAAAAGAGCAAAAGGGGTCACCGGAAAGGGACCCATAAACCGACAGACCCCGAAGGGTCATCGGAGGATGGAGCACAGGCCGGCTCCAGCATGCTTGAGCGGTCGGGGATCCCCCAACGGCTCAAGCATCAAAACGTCGGAAGCTCAAAGGCTTCCGACCAAAAAATCACCGCGTCGGAGAAGGTAAGCAAATGCAAGAGAGAAGGGAGAGAAAAGGGGAAAGAAGAAAAAAAAGTCTAGTTTGTTGTGTACATGGATCCAGACCTAATGAAAGCTGGTGTAAAATGTTGAAAATAAAGGATTTTCTTTCCATTATCCATGGCATTTATTATCACGTAGTTATTGAAATTATTTATAGTATTTATTACCATATTGATGAAAGTCATGACCATAAGAATTTAATATCATATTATAATTATTGAAATTTACTCATGATATTTATTATCTTGTGACAAAAGTCTTAATTACAGGATGAATTCCTCCAGCCTACTTGTGGACACGGCGCCACCCTAAAGGCATGGTCACACAAACTTATGTGAGTTGATGAGCTCTATTAAATAGAATGTGAGTTGATTAGCTGTTGAGCTCTATAAAAAGAGCTAGGTGCAAGGCAAAAGAAGCAAGCAACATAAATTAAGAAGACCTAATTGAGTGAGTGCTCCTGTAAGAGAAAATAAAAAGAAATTATGAGATAATTTTTATGAAAATTAAAAGAAAATATTAAAGAGAATTTGAGAGTGTATATATATATTAAAATTAGAATGTTAAAAACTTCTTAAATAAAAGAGTTTTTAAATTATTATATTTAAAAAATACATAAATTTATCTCTCTTTTTTATGGATTTAAATTTTTTAAGAGATATAAATTAATTGAAAACTGTTTTATACAATTCGTATTGTAAAATTATTTAAATATCTTTAAAAAATAATATAAAAACAAAATAAAAGATATTTAAGTAATTTTACAAGACAAACTATATATAATTCATTCTGTAAAACAGCATAAATTAAATTACAGTAAATTATTATTTTAAATTCTTTTTCATTTCCATTTGTACAGAATTATAGTGCTCAAAATTCTCCAACATATCCATCCATGATAAATATATGGACCAAAGGATCCCCAGTGGTCCAGAGTAGTATAGTACTTCATCTAAGACATACCTATGATATGACTATGACACCCAGTGCACTAGTTAGTCATTTCAATAAAAACACTGGAATCTCTACTTCTAAGGTCTAGTTTACATTTTTTAATAAATAACTGATGTATCTGTGTCACTGTCTCCAGGCTGGCATTGATGATGATCTTTGAAACTCTCCTGTCTGAAAACCAGACATACGTGTTGATGAAACAGAAGCTGAGGGGCGGAGTAGAGGTGTACTGCTCCTACTTGAAGTTTCATTAGCAACTGGTGTAGGACTATATGTGACCGTAGGTGGTGTTTGTAGCTCTATCTCAGTGTGTGTAGCATTGCCAGTTTCAGGAATATCAAGCATCTGGTGATCATCTTCCTCGAGAGACATTACCGTGCTTGTCTCTGTATGTATGGTTGAATCATCAGTGTATTGCCCGTGCCTCCTCTTTCTCCTCCTTGCTTCTTTTCCCCATCCGTGCATTGTCTCCCTTATCCTTGGTGGGATTAGTGCTGCTTTATAGTTCGTTCCCATCTGGAAGGGAAGGACAATTAGGAAGCAAATAGAAAAATCACCTCTCACTAAGGTTTTCATTGAAATTTTAACATAAGAATTCCCTGAGTAAACTTAGCATTAGGACATGAAGAGCAGATAGGTAGAGTGGGGAAATCACTTTCCCTTTAGGCTCGAGGATTGAACCTTGGTGCAACCGTGCAAGGTCTAAGTGACTCTGGAAATCTCCATGGCTTGACATTCAACCAACCCAGATGACATACTAAGATGAGTTTCAAGAGTCATAAGATCTATATATAATACTGATGCAGCAATGCCAGAATATACCAAGAACTTGCTTCACTTTCGAGGTAGTCCATCACGGACCTAAATTCTATCATATGGTCCATCTTGATTGTATTATTGTTTCTAAGAAACAAGAAAAATTTAGAGATAAATATAATACCTGTGTAACCAGAGCATAGAGTGGCAAAGTGCTGTAGCTGCATAGGAACTGTCCAGCGAACCTATGAGACAAACAGCAGATTAAGGAACTATAGTAATGGAATATGCATTATGAAATAATGACTAGCTGAAATAAATGCATACCCCAAAATAAGTCGTATGTAAACCAGCAAGTGATTCTTGATAAAACATGAATCATACCCAATCTGCCACTGCATAGATATGTAAAAAGAGAGTGATGACGTTAATAGTTAATAAACAGATCATGTCCTTTGAATCTGTGTTTGTCCTTTACATTTGCGTTTCCCTTTACATTTCTTGGTTGTTACAAATTCATCTTCTTTTACTGGTTGGTTCATTATGTTATTTCGGATTAACTTTCCCAAGGCAATAATAATCTCTTAAGTGATGCCACAGCAATGTAGCAACCGAACCGACAAGCAAAATATTGAGGAAAGTCGAAAGTGCTCCTATTGAGAGTCACATGGATCAGATTCAAGGATTGGTGACTATTGGGTTAGAAATCATCTTCAGCAGTGTAAACAGATACCAATCATGGAAGAGGAAGTACCCAAAACCAAAAGAATGAAGCCAGTTCGAATGCATTCTGCACAGTCAGACACCAAAAAGAAAAAGCATGTTAGTTATGCTACACCAAAGAAATAAATAAAAGGATGGCTGGGGCTGAGGGATGGGGATGATTGGTGTACAAATTAAGCTCCTACTGAACTTCATTAAACGTAAAACTTGATAACCTGGAAAAGAATGAAATGAATGAGGGATAACAACAGTTCTGGTTTATTAAACCAGAAAAGTTCATCTCGAGGCCTCAACTTTCCTCCTGCAAAAATTACGCCAGCATTTTCCAGGGCCAGTGTTGCGATAACATGCTGTAGTTTTGCCCCCACAACAAGAACCAGCTATTGATGAATATTTATGGAAAATTAGAATAGAATGAAATGATTGATTAAAATATATCCAACAAAAATTGGTAAAGACTCAAGAGTCGTCATCCTGTTACTACCTTGGTGTTAAGAGTCTAGTGTGGTGCAATTAACTTACTAAAAGCCCACTGGCAAATTGGCAATAGGGGGAATGGGCAAACTCATATTCAAGGCCACTAGAAGAAATTTCTCTAATACCTTCTTTCAATACAATAGTAATACCATAACCTATTCCATTGGCTTTCAATGGTCTAATGGCAAATGCAAATGCATCTACCTGTACATAGACTGAATATAAAATGTAGAATTGTAGATGAATGCTGAAACTAAGAAACAAAAGAAAATTAACTTACAGTCATGGGAATGATGGCAATCCAGAAATATAGGTTAGACCCTGTAACAAGGGAAGAGAGTGAACGTGAATTTAGCAACTTTGTAAATCTGCCTATAATCTGATAATAAAACTGTCTGAAAATAAGATAGACAGCAAGATCAGAACTGCATTCCCATAAAATTAAATTGTTGAAGCTTATAAATATTCTTTCAGTTCAGCAGATGGCATTTTCTTTTCTTTCTTCTATATTTTGGAGTGCTGGGGGATAAAACTGCAAATAGATTTATAAGAATACAGCCAGGCAAGCACAGTGATGGTGCACCTTTCACATTGAACAGCATGAAGGCAACAACAAATCCCCACAGAGGACCACTGCAAGAGAATGAATTAAGAGAACTTTAGCTGGCCTATCCTAAAATAAAAATTCAGAACATCACCCAGGCATAGAAACATATTCTTGATCCATAAACAAGTTAAATGCCTTCTGATAACAGCACAATGAAACTCCTAGGTAAAAGAAAATGGTGAGTAAAGAATGATGAAAAATTAGATGATTTGATGTGCATCAGCAATCCAGTCATTTATGACTTAAACTTTTTTCTTTTATTTGAAAATGTCAAGAAATCAGTTCATATTGCGACCATATCATTGTTTCTTTTCTTTTCTTGCTTTTTTTTTCTTCTTTTTTTTTTTTTATGGCATATAGGCCTGCCAAAGGAATCTATTGACAAGTAATGTTTAAAGTATAATGCCAAAATGGCCTGAGAAACCACTGTCCAAACATTTGTGTGCATACCATGCAAATGAAAGAAGTGGGTGTGCAATATAGTGCCTGTATGCATTCATATACATGCCTGTGCTATGTGTGTGTATGTGAACGATGATGTACAGACACTTAATTACTCTCCACAAACACGAGTTGGTGATTTATAGCCATATAGGACAAAAATAACACCTACAGCTTTGCAATAACAAGGAAATGAAAACAATAAAAAATTCTTAACAAAAACATCACTTGCCTAACACCAACTATCCTCTGAAACTCTTCTTCCATAGAGCGAATCATATAGCTGTGGAAATCATATTTCGACCTCAGGTTGTGATTCTGTCATGAATATGGAAAAAAAATGGGTGAGTACTCAATTTTTCATAAACTAATTGGTTTACCACCACCTATTTGATCAGCCAAATAATGAAAATTGGTTTCACACCTACAAGCAATTTAGCATCAACATATTCTTACATTGTTAGATTTCCCCAGAATACAACTAAAAATCAGAGATGTTTAAAGGAACTAAGTTCTAAATATTGCATATGTTACTAATAAGATTGGAGTATAAAAATATCAGAGATACACACAACACACACTCACATACAGGTAGTACATACCATGATGAAGCTCTTTCGGAGTGTCAAGTAATCAGCACGAACAACTGAGTTTCCAAATTGCCTGAAGAAACAAGTCTGCAAGTTTAAAGGATTAGGAATCTCAATATAATTACCATTAAGCAATCTTGTTCTTTTTTAACAAAACCGAAGTTGGTAAATAAAAAATTTCAAGCCTTTCCAACAATAAAGATAATAATGCTCCAACATAAGTTATCATGGCCTTTTGCCACAACAAAACAAAAGGAACTAAGCTGCAATAGCAAACAGAGCAAGAAGAAAATGCTTTTTACCTACCACCCATATAAGAAACCTATTTCTGGCCAAGGGGTTTGAAGTATGGTATCTGACAAAAGTGGTTTGTCTTCGCATTGTCAACTCTAGTGTAGTTTCTGTCAGAAAAATAAAATGCAATTCTCATATGAATACTTGAATGAAAACATCCGAAAACTTTGAGTCATGCCTTGGACTACAAAGCTCATTGACTAAAACATAAACTAGAAAACACAAGTATGTTCTTACAGCCATGTACATAGGGCTGCAGGAGAAAACTGATCATCTAAGTACCAACAAAGCTGCTTCCAAGTGTCAAGTCCCATTCTCCCACAAAGGAGAAACCGATTGAGGGGTCAATGGGAGAGAGCTAAGCACATACTAGTGCATCAATGCAGTAATCATAAACTCAATAGAAGGCACTCTAAAAGAGATGGTCAAACTTTCCCAGCAGCATAAAATGCAATTTTAAACCCTATACCCAGTATATCATGTTCCTCCAGAACCAGTTAATCTCCCAGCAAACTAATCAAAATACAGAAAAGGGCATCAACACATAATCAATGGTGTTGCCAAAATTCTTCTGTAATTATCTTAAATTCTCATAGGATAGGTTAAAGGTAGATTTTACAAATGAAAGAGGCTGCAATGGCCTTCTCATCATACAACATTCTCCTTCTATTCACAAAAATACTGTCCTTCCTGTCAATGACTACAAACTGATTGCAGCTACAGGCTTCATGACTAGAAAGTTCATTAAATAAGCATTTAGAATAACATCGGTTGGAGAGTATAAGTTCAGTCAACTATTTCCTTCCATCCTATGGCAATCCATACTCAAGCTATAGTAAATCTCTGTTATATATAACTATATTTTTTTGTGTATCGTAAGCTAAGCTCTGAGAAGTTAAATCATATAATTTCATACTCTAAAAAGTACAAATACTAGTTTGGCTTACGATGTAATGAATTTTCTCGATCCTTATGAGCTTCTTCTTCCCATGCCCTCCAACTATGAATCTGGTCAAACAGTCATAATGCCAAACTGTCAGCAAAGTACAGCAAAATAAGTGATAAGACAGTTCTAAATATCATGATTTATCTTGCACATATTTGCATATTTTTCTTCCAACCAGGAGAAAGCATGTCTACAAAACAGCTTAACATGGATCTTACAAAACAAAATTAGAAGAAATCCATCTACATTTGGCTAGCTATTTGGACTAAGCAAGTTGCATTGGGAAGTGCAAAACATCATTGAACAAGCAAACTTTTAAAATATCAACAGATCTTTAGCAGTTCCTACAACAAGAAGACAAGAAATTTAACAACTATGTTTGAAAATTCTCAATCACGGCTACTAAGATTACAATCTCAAGGTCCAACCTTCACAATTGCCAGCAACATCGTTAAGCAACTGTAGGATACATGTGTGACTGCCATAACAAATATAAAGCGGTGCAACTGTTCAAGACCATCATATGAAACAAAAGGCTCATAACCCTGAAGAACAGAGTAATTTTCAGATCACATGAGGTTGTCCATCAACAAAATATGTTTATCAATAAATTGAACAAAAGATATTCAATACTTGAGTCAGATATGAATAATTCACATGCCTTTTTGCAGGTATTCCGATTCATGCCATTCAACATTCTCCTAAGTGAGTGAGAAACAGGACTCATCAAAAGCTTTCGTTCCTTGGAATCATTATTCTCAAGTTGTTGATCAATATCAAACGTAGTACATGGAGAAAAAGTACTGTCATAGAACTTTGATGGAATGCAAATATTGGCAATTGTGCTTGAGGTAGCTGTTAGAAATAGTGATATGAAGCCAAGCAGCATTAACTCTGAAGAGAGAAGTTCAAAAAAGTATCAAAAAGAAAGTTACAAATAAGGCCAACAAAAGAGTATGTGAGTTGTGACTCATCTTAGGTAATTATTCAACAATTTTAAATAACTTCCACATAATTTATACGTTGATACCTTCTTTCATTTTCTCTACAGCTGCAAGCAAAGGTTTTCTGTTGGTTTCCCGCAACCACTAAAAGAATGAAAAAGAAACTCATTAGAATGCTTTCAACTATTACACTTAAAATATAACTCTTTATCAGAACAAATTTCTTTGGTAGTTTGATAAATTAAAAGAAAAGTTATCATCTAAAAGTATATCATAAGAATAAACATTTAGAGGCTGAGGTTACCATTCTGTATCTATCGTTCTCAAAAGAACACAATCATATTATCTTCCTAGGCAAATAAGGGGAATCAATTTTACTCCAAAAGTTGCAAAAAGCCACAAACACCTAGACAAGACAAGTCTAAAACATAATTTAATATTATGTCCAAAACCCAAGAAACCATGCAATATAACTCCTCATTTTTAACAAGTTCCAGAACTGGGTGCTAACACATAATAGTTAACCGTTTCAATACCGACTATACATTAGAAATTCTCTCAATGGCAATTACAGGAAAAATATGAGGATCAGATCAAGTTTGAGTTGTAAACCAAACATGAGATGAACATACAGAAAAGATAACTGAGGAAAGAACATAAATTACATTATTAACCGATAGAAGGAAAACCAAAAGCTACAACCCAGATACCAGTACTTACGTTGCACAGGCGGTGAATTGAGCGTTCCACAATCCAAGAAACCACCACAAATATTGTCAACACGGTAGCAACAGACCATGTTGGTGTTAGTGCCAGTGATCTCAGTTCCTGATCACTTTCTGAGTTTTCTGTCATTTTTTAGACAGCTATAATCACAACCGCCAAACCTTTCTTCCAAACCTAAACTCAAGAGGAGGCAGAACACAAAGAGGAAAGAACAGGGAAAACGGGTATAGAATTTGCAAAATTCTAAATTCAGCTACCACAGCACTTTGCCAAACACGCTAAACGACCTGGTATGAACAGAAAATAACCAAATTCTAGTCTGTAACTTCAAAGACGGTACAAAAAAGGAAAGAACAGGGAAAACGGGTATTCCTCATTTCAGCTAAGACCAAGAACACCAAGAGGAAGATAACAAAAGTAAAAAAGGCATGGCAAAATTGTTGTTCTTTATTCAAGATTCAAGAATCTAAAAGTCCTGCACAATTCAAGAGTCAGAAATTTGTTGACAGGGAAAAAACCCCAAGACAAGGAACTGCAGTAAAAGCCTCTACACTAAATGACGAAACTACCTGCCCCTTTTTACCTAGACTTTGAAAAGGAAGCAAACACGAATTGAAGTCAGGAAACCAATCCTCAACAGTATGCAGTTATTACACAACTTGCTTCTGTGACTGGAAAGTTCAAAACCATAAACTTCTTCGTAGACCCACTAAAAATTTGGAACCTTTTTCCTTCTACACCATTCAATTTTGCCTCATATTTTCAAGATCAAAATCTTCTGAAAAGGGAAAAGAGAGGAAACAAAACATGGGAACTGAATCTTGAGGAACCCACATTTTGACATCAGATTTCCTATAACAAGCAGAACTCCCTCCTCTGACACCAAAAATCAAGATAAAACAAGAAAAAAAATTGTCCCTTTTAGATCAATGGAATCCTTGAAAACGGAAATGAAGGAAAGACTCTTGGAAGACGGGCCTGGAGAAAGACTGGCAAAGAGATCTCAGTGTTCAGTTTATATTTACATTTATTTTTTATTTTTCTCCAAACTTTTTGCATTTTGCATGCTGACTCGATGGAGATACTGTATCTATACACTCTGCCTTAACAGTTTAAACATCAGCAAATGCAGGAATTTTTTTTTATTTTAAGGAATTTAAAATGGCATTTTGCGGTGTCTGTTGAATGATCATGACTTGTAACACTAGGTCGTTTTCCTGGTTGGAAACTAGTACTTATTTTTTGGTTTCTGTTATTTTCAAAAAATATATATTTATTATTTTTTGGAACTAGAAAACGTGATACTTTTTTCTTCTTCATTTTTAAAATATCATTATTATGGAATTACTCGCTTTTTCATTTAGAATTATTTGGAGAATCTTGAGATTCTTCACTGACTTTGTGATTTTTTAAGATAGAAACTTAGGGAATCCAAAATAATACTATTATTATTAATGAGAAAATTGACATTTGGTCTATATCCTTTCACTTCTGTCTCAATTTAGTCCTCCAATTATTTTACCTAACCTAACTGAAGCATCTAAAAACCCTTTACAAGGCTGTCTGTAGCATGGATCAATTAGGTCCTAACCAGAATAAGCACATGGGCTTCCTCAATTGTATCTAGATATGTACAAATACAGCCTTGACTTCATGAGGGGTATTGTATTGTTCTGTTGGGGGACAGTAGCTCCTGATTTGTCTGAGATAATTATAGGTGCAAAGTGGTGGACTGATGGTTAAGAACAGCGAACAACCCACCTGTCATGGAAAGAACTTCATTGATTTCTTTAATTATCAGCGCCAGGCTGTTTCTAAATGTTGATTGAATACAAGAAACTTCATCTCGCCGAGTTACGAGTTGGGGATAATTAAATTTAAAATTTAAGATAAAATCTTAAATCAAGTATAAGCTTGACATAGAAATAATCCTAACAAACAAAAAGGAAGCTACGTGTATGTGTTCTTCCAGGCGAACATAAATGGCTTAGCTGCTGGAACTTGGCATCTCGCTCTCATCAGCTCTGTTTTCATCTCCAGTCTCATAATTTGTGAGCTCCTCGATAGCTGTCTCACCATTGGGGAGCTCCTTGATGGAAGTCTCACCATTGGGGAGCTCCTCGGTGGAAGTCTCACCATTAGGGAGCTCCTCAATGGCCGTCTCACCATTTAGTTCATTCTCATTGAAGAGATCCCTTTGAACTGGTACACTTCTTTGCTGCTGGGATGACATCACATTTGCGATAGCTTGAAGTGCTGCAGATGCCTGACTATTATTTGCCACGGCCTCTTCGTCTATCCCGTGCACAGTGGGCGATTCTGATGAGCCATCATTTACTTCTTGTTGAGGAGGAGGGACAAAAAAGGGTAGTTTACCTCTTTGCCAGTCATGGAGGACCATCTTTGCTGCAGTTGTCAGATCAGGTTCGCCACCCTAATATTGGCCATTGAGAAGCATATGCTTCAGTACATATATCCCTATAGCCTTTCAAAGTGCTAAGGAGCAGAAAATAATGTAATAATAGAACTTCAACCAAACAAAGTGAGGAAAAACAACGAGCATTAAATCAGACATTTCAATTTGTCATGAGGATAATGATGCAAGAGCACAATCAGGCATTAAATAAGCATTCAATTTTCTGAAATGATAAAGAAATGAATAAACCAGCTAAATAGCTTAAAATAAAGTAAACTAATTATATTAGCCCTACAGCACAAATTCCCATATTTTCTCCCCTGACATTGAAAACTAAATCATGAATCAAAAAGTAGTGCAGAAGACATACCCTCAACAATTTGCCAGTTGATTTGCATAGCTGGAGAAGAAAGTCATTTTCATCCTCCCTGGTAAGAGTGGCATGATGCATTAAGAGAGAAAAATTCGAGGAAAAATAAGGATAGAGTGAAGAACAGCAGGGCATAGTCTCATCTATAACACAAATATGAAATATGGTGAAATTTAACATTTTAAAACAACAAACAAGAGGACTCAGGTGAGCAACTTATTAACAGGTACCAAGATAAAAAAAAATGCAGCAGAAATTAATTTAAAAACAGAAATATTATAAAAGTGAAAATCTAGTCATAAGACCAAAGATCAGCTCACCATTCCTGTATCTTGTATGCTCTTTCCAGGTGCTCCTTCTTGACACGTGTCAGAACTTCTCCAATATGTTCAGAAGCATCCTCCAAGTTTGTGACACGTACCTGGAAGAGGGCCAAAATAATCCACATTGAAATGCACATATTACATTACAAAACAGCAGATGAACATGCAGACCCTAATGAAACATCTCCAGCTAGAAAGGCAATTAGCAATCATGCTATGGCCTCACTGCCTTTTTGTGTTCAAAATCTTCAGATATCAACAGTGTACAGAAACTATAAAAAGTGAAGGAAATTAGCTGATTAAACATACCACGCCCTTTAGTACAATATCCGTTTCAGAGTCACTGTTCTGGTAAACAACTCCAGGGCAGTCAATCAAGAAGATCCTTTTTGTGAGTGTTATGTACTGCCACACCTTAGTCTCTCCGGGAATTGGTGCAACTTTGCAAACCTGTTGAAAAGAAAACAATAGCTGAACTAAACAACTGATCTTATAAATGTAGCAGATAGATAGACGCCTAAAATATAACTGTTGTTCAAACATCATAAAATTACAGGATCTATGGCTACGAATTGACAAAAGACATATGGTGTTATACTTAAAAGTATCCAGAAAAATCAGACATTAAATTAGAGCTCTCAATTTACAAGGAGGTAATAAGCATGTCAAATAGAATTGGGAGCATAATGGTATTCATACACAGGACCATGTATGAGCATGCTTATCATTTCAACATCCTAGGGCATAGAAAGTTAGAAACACAAATTATACAAGTGATGCAGAAAAAGAAGCTCTAAGACTGTAAAAAGGTAGAAAATTACATTTTTAGTGCGAAGTGTGTTAATCACAGAAGACTTTCCGACATTAGGATACCCAACAAATCCCACAGATATTGCTTGCTTATCACTTTTTAAGCGGGCAAATTGTCTCAAAACTGACAACAGAGAACCCTGTGTGCAACAACCAAAAAGAAAAAGAGTTAAGACAAATGCTGATGCCAAGTGAATACAAGTTACAGCTAAAAGAGCAGCAAATACAGAAAGTAAATTGCATAGATAATACAGCTAAGTAGACTAAGGTTTTTGTTTAACATCTGCCTCAATCTGAAAGGATAGCTCCTCCAAACGCAAGTTATGGGAGGTTCTCTGCAGTTTACATTGAGATAGCCAAACAAAAAAAGTTAAGTATATTACACACCTTGCCAAAAGACTTATTGATGCTAGCATGGAATGCTAGAGTTGGGTATTCCTTTGATAATACTCTAAGCCATCCCTTTGTAGCCCAAGCAGGAACGAGATCACACTGAAAAGATGGGACTACAACTACTCAAAAGCAGTCTTATAAAGGACATAAGGTGGTAACATTATAAATACACCTAGAAAAAGAGACTAACCTTATTTAACAGAAGGATCATGTGTTTGTGCTTGCAGTTTTCTTTCAAATGCTTTTCTAGATGACGGCATCTTGTACCTTGTGGGTCTCTAGCATCCAAAACCTGTAACGGGAAAAATAAATAAAGAGAGGAGTGGCATAAGGATTCTTTTTAATCCTCTTCTGCATTTGAAAAGCTAGGTAGGCAAAGCTCTGCACTAGGAGCAAACAAACATGGCAAAATAAATAAATCTAAACCGGATAAGCAGAACCCTTTTATGTATTTAAAAATAAAAAATAAAAAGAACAAAAAAAAAAAAAAAAACCTTACAATTCCTGCAGATAAATAGCCGACTAGATCATACTATTGTCCCTTGATTATAAAAGTATATTCCCAACTAGACAGTGTAACAAATAAAAAGGCTAAAAGGAAACCTAATTCTACTTCTGTTGAGTCCTTAGATAAGAAAAGAAGATTTACTGACCTGGACAACAACATCTGATGAGTCAATAACTTTGTAAAGTTCACCCCATATACGCTTACTCTGACCCTTCTCAAACATGGTGTGTCGAACTAGATCCCTGAATCCATCTCCTTCACCCTCAACCGAAGTAGAGGCACTGTACTTCTGCTCAAACGCATCTGCAGTGGTTAAAAAAAAAAAAAAAAGGAAGTAAAGCACGTGATTAAATTCTATTTCAAGTGTCAGAAAGGGTAGTGGTAGACTTGAGTAATTTATTCACCCTGAGAATCATCCGCTTTCTTAAGTAAAGAGTCATAATCTGCTGCCAAGAGCTTAGGGCGCTTCCTTTTCCCCTTTGGCCCAAATGCATCCTCAAAAGGCACAGTGTCAAGCAGATGAACTCTGGCTTGCTTTACAGATGCAACAGACAATAAAATGTTAAAACTTTAAAGAAGATGGACAAAGCAACAATTTTCAGCAACACTTAAAAACTAGGCAGGTACGTTATTTTTATATTACACAATGTGCTACAAACAAAATACAATTAAAGATGGTCGAATTGAAGGCAGAGTAACTCCTGATTGCTGTTTCAAAATTCAAATGCCAAAATGAGGCAAAGATCATGAATAATTCATATACCTTCCTGTGGTCATTTAAAAGGGACAAAGGCAGCTTCTTCTCCTTCAAAATAACATTGTAATTACTGGACATCCGATTCTGGAGCTCTTCACGGAAGAATTCAAGCTCTTGCTGATTTACAACTCGGGTATTTCCTGAAAATTAATAAAGAATATCATAACCTGGATTAATCACTTGAACTCAAAATTGAAGACCCAAAGCCAATATAGTAGGCATCTGCAGTTCAGCGCAAACAATAAAAATTCTACTCCATCCAACAAAGATATGCAACGGTGCTTGAACTAATCAAAGATCCTCAAAGGATTGACGCTAAAATGATCATAAGCTCTATAAACGTACCAAACCAGCGGCGATCAGGCTGGATACGTGTGTTGGGCAGCTCCTTGGACTGCAATTCATGGCTCAAAATTTTCCCTTTATTATCGCGCTTAGGCCGCGTGTTATACATTTTGAGGCGGCGCACAGTGGCGGCGCTTCGCCCATCTTTGATCCCGCTGCCGGAACGATTCACGTCCAGCGAGTGCTTCGGCTTACCGGACACATTTACCTTCCTCTCCTTGTTCTTCTTCACCATCTTCGCTACTTTTATGAATTCGAGTGGCTTGCTGGTTTTTTAGTAGCTCGGAAAATGTCGGAAAGTAGAAGACTGTGAAGCAAAAAGTTCCGGAAACCGTGAAGACTGCCGGATTAAGGCAAAAAAAAAAAAAAAAAACAGAGAAAGTGAAGATGGGGAGAGAGGGATGGCGGCGGCGCGAGATCGAAGAGAAGCTAACGGGGCGGAGAGGGGAAACCTAAAATCCTAAGTTTAAATAATAAATTTCGTCCCTCAACTTTGGTATTTTCATATTTTTGTTCCTTAATCTAATTTCAGCACTTTTTTCATC